ACTAATGGCTTTTTCATTTGTTCTTTCTATTGGTGAAAACCCTATGAATATTTTTACAGTAACTACTTTCTGAGATTATCCTCAATAAAAACTCAAGTTTAATTAGTATTATGTAGTGATAACAAAAACAATAAACATCTAGGTCTTTCTACTAATCGGGTGTCTCTTTCCAACTATTAAAGTTGTATTTGATAGGGTTATTTTAATTATACTTATATAAAAGTAGTGTTATTTTTGGGGTTCCATATATCAAAGCGAAACACGATGTTTTTATAGGATTATTTTGGTGCTTGTCCGTCCGTCTATCCATCTGTCACGGTTTTTCTCCTCCATAACTATTTATTTGAAATTAATACAAAATACTAAGGTATTATAACAAATCAGACGGTCCCTCGGAGGTCCCAAAACAATTTTAAGGTAAATATTTATTATTTAAATATTTTTTTTATGTTTAACTTTAATATTTATAGTTAGAGCATCGTCCGTAGAAAAGATAGTGGGTCAAGGAATTTGTCGATTTTTTCAACTGACTTCAAAAAGGAGGAGGTTCTCAATTCGACTGTATGTTTTTTTTTTTTTATGTTTGTTACCTCAGAACTTCGTCATTTATTAACCGATATGGACAATTTTTGTTTTGTTTGAAAGGGTATACTTCCAGATTGGTCCCATTTAAATTTCAAAAAAAAATACCACCCCTAAGGGTGGAAAAACAACTAATGATGAATTTAACCTACTTCTAATTGTCATATTGACTTGAAACTTTGCAAGTATTTCTATTTCCATTCATAGAACAGTGCTTCGGTGTTGTTGACCTGATCTGATGGCAAGGCCAGAAGATGGATAGGTGGAACTCTTCAACGGCTAATAGTAGATACTTTGAGTTTGGGCTTATTTTGTTTAATTTGACAAGCCTAACACGTTAGAATCCTTACTTTCCTACTACTGTCTACACTAAAAAGAGAAAAATAAAAACTATTTAACAAAAAAATAAAAACCGACTTCAAACAAAAGCACTAAAAAGTAAAAAATAACTGATTGGTAGTTTTCATTTACTATACATACCTAATCAAATATTTTTGAAGTCGGTGTGCTTTGGCTAAGTAATTAAAGCCTACCTATTAAATACATACCTAATCAAATATTTTCGAAATCGGTGCCAGCCCATACAAAGCAAAGCACACCGACTTCGAAAATATTTGATTAGGTATGTATAGTAAATGAAAACTACCAATCAGTTATTTTTTACTTTTTAGTGCTTTTGTTAGAAGTCGGTTTTTATTTTTTTGTTAAAAAGTTTTTATTTTTTTTCACTATAATGACTTTGTTTGTCCTTCAATCCGACTTAGCTTACCTTTTCGATAATTAAGTTTATCCGAAACTCCCAGAGCGCGACCAAACTCATACTTAACAAGTTTTTTAATTATACACGCAAACCACGCACCTAGAAAACCTTATTGCTCGTAGCGTTAGGGATATCTTTTTATTCGTATTTTAGAAACATTCGAATTTGGAAACTTTATTGCCATCTAGCACAAACAGATCTATCCCATGGGAACCGTTAATTTTTCCGGGATAAAGAGTAAACTGTGGTTTGACCGGCAATATAAGGTATCAGCATGCCAAATTTTACAAAATTAGGTGAATAAGTTGTTTTGTACTAAGCTGTATAAGTGACTATGGTTTTTTAACTATCCCACGGGAACTCTTTAATTTTCCGGGATGAAAAGTATCTAAAATGTTGACCGGGGATATAAGGTACCACCGTGCAGAATTTCATTTAAATCGGGTCAACAGTTTCGGAGATTAGCCCGTACAAACAAATAAACAGACAGAGAAACAAAAAAATTGAAAAAAAAACTGGATTTATTCTATTTCTCTTCTTAAATCCCCCTGACTCGGTTTTTAGCATTTTTTTCTATGTACAGACATTCGACCTCTACAGTTTTCTTATAGTATAGATAAAAATAAAATTATATTGATTTGTATTTTTAAGCATTAGTAATTGCAAAAGAAATAACTTATTTAATTTTTTCTTTATTATTTAAAAACCCATGCCGATATTTTTATTCTATAAATATGTATTTGTATACTATTTTAAAACATTATTGTCTGGCTTTATGTGTAATTCTATTAAGTTATAATTATTATTAAGAGAGCAGCTGATATTAACATTTCAATTGTAAATAGTAAAAATAATAATCGAGGAGCTATAAAATATTTATATCAAATGCACTTCAGCTAAACCATAAAAAATCGATATTGATTTTCTTACATTTGAGTTTTATTTCCCTAATTTATAGGCAATAATAGTGAGCTGCTTTAAATAAAATAATATTTATATACATGCAGACACAAGTGCACTCTCTAATTCTCTATCTCTATCACTCTCGTACTCCGGTGAGATTCCGGTAAGCCAGCGGTGAAACACCGTCAACTCAACTCAACAACTCCGGGCTTTTATTGAGACTTAACAGTCTCTCAATAACTGAACTCGACTCGACTCGGGGCCCGAACCCAGGACCTCCGCATCTTCCGCCGTAGGTACACGCTAGCTACTAGACCCCAGACGCAGTTAATAAACACTATAATATGCTTAAGATTGATGAATCACGTATTAATTTTAATTCAGACTACAGTTTTAGCTTAAAATGTATATATAATAATGTATACATTTAGGTACTAGCAATCTTACATTATTTTAAACACTGCTTTTATACAATATAAAAAAATCGGTCAAGTGCGAGTCGAATTCGTACTCGAAGGGTTCCATAAAATAGCACATGTACTTTTTATTAATATGACTATTACTCTATGTATGTTTAGTATATTAACTTCGATGATCGGTTAGGAATGAAAAAAATAATGTTTCGTGTATTTTTATTTCTTTATTTTCATTATTTGTTGTTATAGCGACAATAGAAATACATAGTCTGTGAAAATTTCAACTCTTCACCTATAATGTTCATGAGATTCGGCCTTTTGATAGATGGACGAACGGATAGCGGAGGCTTAGTAATAAGGTTCCGTTGGCACCCCGAAAGGTATCCGAAGATACGGAACCCTAAAAAGATCAAATATTATATTATGTTATAATAGTGTTAATTGTATTAATTTCCATAAAGAGAAAATTAAGAAAACTAATAATCTTGCCATGACATCCTCCAGGCTGGGCGCCGCGACGCCTGGCCGCCGTTTAGTCGCTCCCGAACACTTAGCCTCATTCCTTCAAACACTATCAAAATAAATGTCAATGAATGCTATTTTATGGATTTATTGCTCGAGGTATAGTTTAGTCTAGAGTTGGGAGATAATGATTTCTTAAATGTTGGCTAGGTGCGACACTAGTATAATATTATATGATCTGTGGTGCGACAGACCGAGAGAGAGAGAGGTAAGGGCGGGCCACTAGTCTAATGTATGTACGAGTAACATATCGTTAGACGTTTATTGTACCAACCATTTACTTTTCATAAAGTTACTTTTCAACCCGTTAAGTACCTACCAGTAATATTGTGACGCACTCGAGCTACAGATCCAATATATTGTGAGCCCGCGGCTCCGCCCGCGTTCAGATGACCAAAAACCAAATTCTTAGGTTTTACATATTAGTATACTCTTATACTGCAGTTTTTGTATTTTTTTTATCAGAAATGAGATATTTTCCCGCGGTAAAAAGTATCCTATATATTAACCCGGATAACCAGCTATCATCATACCAAATTTCATCAAAATCTGTCCTGTGGTTTTCTCGTGATGCGGTAACAGACAGACAGACAAAAAAATTCTAAAAAAAATATTTAATGTACAGATTCGACTTAGTTACAATTTTATTATATGTATAGATTTCTACACTACTCGTATATACTAGTTAAATACTTAGGTATATGCTTAATCAAGACTTTCATAGCGTTTTATTATCAGTCAAGTATACATATATTACATACCAATATATCTTTGTCTCCCATTTTTGCTTTTTTACATTGCCAAAGAAAAACAATATCTTGTCGATTTAAATAATGAAAACAAATGACATCCACTAAAACAGCCTATGTTGTAGCCTAACGGCGGATTCACACGGCATTGTCCTACACGATTTTTTGTATTCGATTTTAAATGTATAATCAACCGAGTGTTCACACGGTAGATTTTCATTCGTGTAGAAATGGATATCCGCAGTTCTCATACGTTGTCACAGTGAGAAGACGTTAGTGATGGATCCAAATACGTTTAAGTTCATTCGATTTATAGTTGCACATACATTGTACATAGAATCGTTCACACGTCTTTTGTACTGCCAAAAATCGTACACGTTTATACGTTTAAACGAATACTCACCGGACTTGTCAAGCAAATCGAATTAACTTTAAAGTATTCGGTTTGCAGTGGCACATAGTTTAGCTCTGTCTCAACGTGTGATAACTGCGGATATTCGTTTTTACATGTATGGAAATCTACCGTGTGAACACCCAGATGATTGTACGTTTAAAATCGAATACAAAAAATTCGTGTAGGACAATGCCGTGTGAACCCACCGTAAAGTCGGTAAAAAGTAAAGCGTTAATCTAAAGTATAAGATCTCACTCACACATACTCACATTCAACTGATTACATTACTTTAGGTATTTAAAAATATATGTTAGGTATAATAAAAAAACATAATAATATAAAAATAAGTATTAAATTGTACAAATTGTAAAATTACTCTCCTAGTTAGTATTCAACAGAAAAAAGTATTCAAATGTCAGCAAATTGAACGAAAACAAATTATTCTTGACAAAGAAAAATAATGTTTGATGGCTGTAGTTATCAGCATAGCGAATGTTAAATTGGAAACGGTTAATACAAACTTATAGGTCCAATACGTTCATAGGCATTTCACAATTTGCCGTTACGCACTATACTTGAAAGCGTGAAGTGAACTTGACTATTATGATGGTATAGTGTTATAAGTACATTTTTTCCAATTGAATGAGCCATATGAGGTGAAATACGCAGCGGAAATGACTTCTCTCAAGCATGGCGTGAACCTGAGTCGGCGAGCGTGTAGGCAGCACGCCACCCTGATGGTAGCTGTCACTCTACTAGCGATTGTGTCAGCTAGTCCTATCGAAGTAAGTATCCTTAAAACTTAATAAGGTTCTTATATGTATTATGTTGTTATTATTATACCATTTATTATTTAATCCTACATCATTGTTAGTACTTATCTGCCATTTTACTAAAATTATTAAATTAAAAATTTTAAAAAGCCCCGACCATCTTGGACCGATTTTCACCAAACATAGCTAAGAACACTCCCGACTAATTCATCTTTCAAACAAAAAACAAAATCAAAATCGGTTCATCAGTTCGGGAGCTACGATGCCACAGACAGACAGACACACACAGACACGTCAAACTTATAACCCCCGTCGTTTTTGTGACGGGTGCTAAAAATGGTCTAGTGTAGGTTTTGCATGGGTAAGGGTCCTGTGCGAAATAAACTTAAAATTTTCGTTATATCTCACATAACTAGCTCTATCACTTCGTATATCTTACTAGAGCCTCCCTAGGTACCTAACTTAAATATTAACCTACTACGTCATAATCAATCTATAACCATCCCGCTGTTTCAACGTGAAGGAGTAACAAACATACACACGCACGCACACATACAAATTTTCGAATTTATTATAAACCCTTTTAAAAAAAATTCAGATCTCTATATGAGAGTGTGTTATTTTACTCGTAAGTGTAGGAATTTTATCCCGGAAAATTAAATGGTTCCCGTGGGATAGTTAAAAAACTATAATAACTCATACAGCTTAGTACACAACAACTTATGCACCTAATTTAGTAAAATTTAACATTCTGATACCTTATATTGCCGGTCAAACAACAGGTTACTTTTCATCCCGGAGAATAGATAGATGGTGCTGTGTACAGTTTTAATGCCTAAACTTATTTTACCAATGTAAACAGTTCCCGTGGGAACTAATAGATCTCTATCAGTGTTTTTAGGCGAACCAGAGCGAAGCGAGGGTGAGCCGCTAGTAATTTTGAAATACTTTATATAGAAACTGTTTAATAAAATTATCCGATCTCCGATTCACTCCATTTTCTTTGATATGTACAGAATGGTTTTGATAAGCCAATAAATATTTGTATTTATATAAAAATTATATTGAAGGACACACTATATTTTAGTTAAAAGTTTCCAACTTATTTAAATAGGCGTGCGTTGGAAATATTTGTACTTTGTTGTAGTCTGAATGACAGTTTTGATACAATTCTATCTCCAAAGACGAAAAATGTAGTTATAAACGTAGTTTGGCCAGCGCTTTAAAACTAAATGCTTTTCAATTTGGATTTTAAATTCTAATTCTTGTTATTTACCCTTACTTGACACATAATTGCAACGCCGAAGTTTTTATTACTATAAAAACCTACTTAGTACTAGGCGTTTACGGGCGGCCCCTTTCGCGTAATTTTTAATGTTAGAGTTATTAGATTCGTTAGAGTCTAACAAGATACTTTTAACGGTTAGACCATAATCCGTCGTGTTTGTATAATTATTATTGGCAAATATATTATTATCCTATGTTTCGAACTCAGATTCTTAATTTCTCGGATCCTCTGCCGTGGCACAACAGAAACTAGAAATAACACTCATTTTTGGGGTTTAATTCTAAAATATCTAGTTTAGTTTTGAAATAAAATCATATTCGATAAAGATATAATTAATATAATAAAAATTGCTAGAATAAGTATATTATTCAAGGCGATTCCTTATCACGAACGCTTCAGTATTGAGTACACTCACTAATTAGTGAGGAAGGACTTTATCGTAGCATAATGATTATAATTACAGAATATGAATCAAAACAAGTAGGTATAGTATTGATACTTCTTATAAATAAACCAAGATTTTATTTTAATAAATAATCTAACTTTTATGAATGACTTAGGTCTTGATTATAGCTCAAAATGTTGGCCTAAAAAATGTTAATGACTATTTTAGTAGTACTATATTCATTCTTATTAGACATCGTCTTCACTTTCTATTGGCTTTATGTAGGTCAAACGTGAGCTCATGACTATCTTCCAATTAGATCTGGCACTCTATAACTTCTATCTAAATTAACGAAAGGATAGAGGTTTGACAATAAGCCAAAAACACAGCATCCCCTCTATGAGTATTTACATATGTTACAGTTTACAATACTAGAGTAATTAGATACTAAGTACTATGCTCTTTTAATATTGGAATAAAACTTATCTTATGAATGAGATGAGAAATGTATAAAACTTATGGATTAGTAGTAGCAAGCGTAATTCTCTGCCTCGAGAAATTTTTTATCTCTCCCTCCTTACTTATATTAACTTACTCTGTCACTTGCCTTTCACTTTCAGGCCTTGAAGCTTACCATGGAACTAGATGGTGCTGTGTACAGTTTTAATGCCTCAACTTATTCTACCAATGTAAAAAGCCACGTCTTTTTCACTAATTTCAGTATTATTGGCCCGAATACTAAGTCACAAGTATATACAATATACATGCGAGAAGAAACAAGGAGGGAGAAGAAACTACTATACATAAATTTAATCATTAGCTTTTACTGACAGTTATACAAGGTCATTTTAAAAGACAAAGTACCCGCAGAAACGTCAAGATACAATTTGTAGGTAGCAAGAATTCATTCTTTGTGGAATATAAAAATATTTTTAATCTAATCTAATATATAAAATTCTCGTGTCACAGTATTTGTAACAAAACTCCTCCGAAACGGCTTGACCGATTCTTATGAAATTTTGTGTGTATATTCAGTAGGTCTGAGAATAGGACGTAAACTATTTTTCATACTCCTAAGTGATAAGGGTAGTCCATTACATACATTACATGAAAATACTATTTTTTACTTATCTCTAAAATTAATTTTGTTTGAATTAATAATATTTAGGAGAAATATTATAATGCTAAAGGAGTACAGTGTTTATGCGTAGCGGATGCCTTTGGTCATTCAGGTGATTGATTTGTCACTGATGAAAACTCTGTAAAAAATTCTGCATAAAATCATTGCCAATACTCAATTCATTTTATCCAAAAATATGGACTAATAGAGAATTTTACCTTATCTTAGTTACTTTTACTTGTTACTATTATTTGCTTTCGATCTTTCTTTGATGGTGCGTTTCTATTTGTATTGTATTCAGCCCTTTTTAACGTCTCACTGCTGGGCATGGACCTCCCTTCAATGCGTTTCTATTTAGCGAATAGGAAAGTTAAAAAATGCTAGCAGGTGAATACCACATATCCATGCTGTATAGGTATATGCAAGCGTTTTACGTAAATGCATTTCTCAACATTAAGAAAGAAGGTTGGTCCCTTTGTGACTTTTAATTCCTTGATTTTTTCTTTACATCATATATTTTAACAGATAATTTAACTGTTTATATAATATGAAAAAGATATTTTGTCAATTTAAATGCAAATTAAATTCTACATAAAATCCATATATAGGGATTTTTATAGAGAAAGTTGGCAAACACATAGGAATTTTAAAAGTCGGTACCTAGCACCAACATTTCTACAAAGTAAAATATGTAAATATACTTAATTTAATATAAATATTAGGATCTAGTGACTAACCCTCACTTCCCTTCGGGTTCGTCCCTAGATCAAAACGAATCTATCTATCCCACGGGAAGCGTACATTTTTTTGGGATGATATATAGCCTTCCTCAATAAACGGGCTATCTAATGCAAAAATAAATTTTGAAATCGGAGTAGCAGTTCCTGAGATTAGCGCGTTCAAACAAACAAACTATGCCTCTTTATAATGTTAGTATAGATTTGTCAAAAGTAATAAGGTATTACAAAAGCAAAATCAAAATGTAAGTCAAGTATCATGTTCTGTATTATTATCTTGTAAAAAGTTGAGAGGAATGCTTTGTTATAGTGTTTGGAGGGTTTCTAAGCGAAAATAGCCACGTTGCTTTGACATTTTTAAATTTTTCTCAAACCTGAGTAGTGTTTTAGAATACGTACTTATACAAGTATTTTACAATGAAAAGGCACGGCTTTACCTTAGCAATTGAGCGAAGATAATTTTAGACAGATAGTTCTGATAGATTGCTTGTCGCATAGATCTGATTTATACGCTTCTAAGTTCTGACGTCGTAAGCATTGCGTGATAATCATTTCCTGACAATAAAATGAGTATTGTATGAAATTAAATATGTTATTTTACTTATAATCTAACAAATGATGTCAGTTAAAACATGGCTCATATATTATTAACTCTAGGAAAACAAAAACAAACCTATCCCACGTGAACCATACATTTTTTTAGGATAACAGCCTATGTGTTATACCACACTATAATCTATCTCTGTGCCTAATTTCATCCAGATTCGTTCAGTCGTTCTGGCGTGAAAGAGTAACAAACATCCATACTTACAAGATGTAACATTTATAATATTAATACGAATTACCACTGAGGTATGGAACTTTAATTAAATCAAAAGTGTTATCGTTGCGGAAATCAGGTTTCGTTTGATTTCAAATATTATAAAAAAAATGAGCGTCAAAATTAGGCTTGGCTTTTATTTTTTTACTTTGGATTTTATTCGTAGAATTAGTCGTGGTTTAAAATTCATTAGAAAATTTGAAAATTCGTACTTAAAAAATAAGCTTATGGAAGATACGAGATACTGCAATATGACAAGCTGTGCAAAGCTTCTCTAATAGTGATGCCTATATTAATCTTTAGTTGATGACAACCACTTTGCCAAGTGCTCTTATTGGATAGACCGAATACATAGCGCATACCTACTTGTTCACTGCATATCGTACCATCTTTGGTATGTATATGCTAAGTATTAAGTAGTAACGGATCAGTAGTAAAGGTTTTTTTATGAATACTTTCTTAGATTTACGCGAATATTTGACATTTTAAATAAAACTATCTTTTCGGATTTTTTCGCGGATTTATGTGGATTTTTGGTTCTCGACGTTTCGAATGCTTTAATTAAAGATGCTTTATTTCTCAAAAGAATAACATTCACTTAATGAGAAAACTTATAAGTAGGTAGTTGAATATTATTTACATCGTGAACATGATACAAAACAGAAATAAAAATGTTATAGGTATAGAAACATCAAATATCAATCATTAGGTAATAGGATTAATACACAAATTTTATATCTAGTCAAACAACATCATTTTTACATAATGTTGTGGGTAGAACGGTGTTACAACTAGAATATTTACGTACTTAATTGGTAAACACAAAGATATAAAGAGCTTGTTACTAGAAGAGATACGGATAGAATTTAGTAATAACAATGAGTATAATAATAAAATGTTAACTATTATATTATTCTAGTAAATATACAGATTATATTTTGTTCAGTTGTATAAGTATTTCATTTAAGAATATATATATTTTTTTTTATTTATTATTATTATTTTTCTTTTATTTGTTAAATTATAGGTATATTGTTTAACACATGATTTTTTTAAAGTTTTTTGAATTTATGAAATGGTTTTGTTTCTATTAAATTTAATGGTAATTTATTAAATATTTGAACGCCTTCGTACATTATATTGTGTTTGCCGTAGTTAGTCCTTGGTTTAATTGAACTTATTTGATTTGAATTTCTTAGTGAATGTTTTAATGTATGTGATTTCTTTGTGAAGGATATATTTGTATGTATTAATTCGTTTATAATTTTGTATATTAAAATTGAAGTATTATACACGTATGTTTGTTTTATACTCATAAATTTAGTTTCTTGGTACAGTTTTTCAGTAGGAGTCAAATAGTCATAATGAAAAAGCACTTTTATTAATTTATTTTGCAGTCTTTGTATTTTGCAGCGATTAGTTGGTGCTGCAGTGCCCCAGAGTTCAATTAGGTAGTCTATATGGGGTTTTACCATTATGTTATAAATAATTAATCGAACTGGTTTGGGAAAACAACGTACATTGCCGCGTAGTACTCCAACCAAGGAAGATAATTTAGATTTAATTTTGTCTAAATGAGGCTTCCATGTTAAACAGCTATCTAAAGTAATACCAAGATATTCTGCACTTTTTGTCCTATTAACAACAGTACCATTTATAGTTAAAGGATCAAAACTCCCTATTTTCTTATTTTTAGGTGCAAAGATAATATAATTTGTTTTTTCAGTATTAACAGTAAGTAAGTTGCTCTGCAGCCAATTGTTTAAATATACCAAATCATTTTGTGCATCTTTTACGATAGAATTTATTGAATCACCATAGTAAAACATACTTGTATCGTCTGCATATAACGTTAAATCTCCATTTAACCCAATATTGCTAATGTCGTTAATGTAAATTAAAAATAAAAGTGGACCTAATATGGAGCCTTGTGGTATGCCACATGTAATTGAAGCAGTGTCGCTAGTGTATTCTCCTATTTTGACTACTTGCTGCCTGTTTTCAAGATAAGATCTAAAAATGTTTAGTGCTGTACCTCTAACACCGATATCGTTAAGTTTTTTTAATAGAAGTGCAGTACTTACGGTATCAAAAGCTTTTTTAGATCAACAAATATGCCCAGAGCTATTTGTTTTTGGTCTATTTTAAGTTTAATTTTAGTGATAAGATCCATTGTTGCAGATAGTGTGTTGGATTTGGGTCTAAAACCATATTGTTTACTGTAAATAAAGTTTATTGAAGTTAAATAGTTATTAAGACGGGTGTGTAATATTTTTTCAAAAATTTTGGACAACACTGGTAGTACTGATATCGGTCGGTAGTTTCCAGGATCAGTACGTTTGCCTGATTTGTAAATTGGACTAACTTTGGCTATTTTGAGACTGTCCGGAAAGACACCATCATGCAGGCACCGATTTATGCAATTAGTGAGGTCATCAACAATCAAGTTTCTTAGACATTTTATAGCTTTCGTGCTAACACCATCGATACCTACCGAAGTGTTGCTATTAAGATTATTAATTATTTTGAGGACTTCATCCGTAGTAGTAGGTGTTATTTCAGAAAATAATATCTGTGAGTTGGAAGTATCTGAGAGTGGTGGGACAGACGTTAAATATGTATGTGTATGAAGTGATTTGGAAATTTTTGATGCTAACGTTATACCTATAGTAGAAAAATATAAGTTAAAACAGTTACAAATTTCCATTGGGTCTGTTATTATGTTAAGGCCAATCTCTAATTTTGTGGGAATACTAGTATATTTGATTTTGTTATTAGATATACTATTAAGCAACCTAAACATTTTTAACGGTTTTTTGATGCAATTTTGAAATGCTTTTTGATAGTAGTTACTTTTGGTCAATTGTATGTCTTGAGCTACTTGGTCCCTTTTGTTCACAAACTTTTGTTTAATTTCTATGTCTTTTGGTTGAATTTTATGTTGCTGCCATAAGAAGTTTCTTTCATTTATGGCTTTAATTATATTTTTGTTTATCCAGTCGGTTTAATTAAGGAACCAAATTATTAATTAGGGAACCAAAAATCCAAATAAATCCGCGAAAAAATCCGAAAAGATAGTTTTTTTTTTATTTTTAACAATAATTGGTGGGGAAGGTTTGCTGGCGGAGGTGTTCCAGATGGAATTGAAAAGTTTATTTATTTTTGTATCTTTTAATAACATATTTTAATTTTTGTTTTTTTTTTTTTATAATGGCTTATAGTTGCGTTAACAGACGCAATCCATTCTGCCAGTGTCACGTTTTGTAACATATTTTAATTATTAAAGTCTATAATGGTGATATGACATATATATTGACAAGTCGCTATAGCAACAGTTACAGTTAAAAAATAAGATGCGGGGCTGTGAGGCGGTATGTCCACATCCGCTTTAAGACGCGAACAATAATTAATCTTAAATAAGCTATAGTAGTTAAATAAATTCAAAACACGCTTGTGTAGCATTATTAATATAAACGTTAAAAATAAAACGTGATATTAATTAAATAAGACTCAGACTGAGGGGGAGGTGTAATATTAATTGATATTAAAAAGAACAGGTTTCAAAGTTTGAATCTTTTCATGCGTCTATGAGTAGTATCGTATCTTGCAAAGGGATATCGATATGTCCTTTTCAGTACGATTTAATTATTTGAAGATAGTTTAACAAAAAGCTTCATAGCAAAATTTGATAAGCATTAAAGCTATGCTCTATTTACTTCGCAGTATAGCTCTACGTTAGACTTAAGCTAGCGTCGCGTCGTTTCCTTCCGTAAACGTTTGTAGGTAGAGTTGCGTTCTTCATTGTCGCTTTATAAAATTAAATACACACTAAAAATGTTGTTTTTAATCCGAAAAATGTCATATTATTAAATTACGTATGATATTAAAAGAGAAACCTTTGTGCCATTGCCACTCTCCGCCAATTTTTGTTAGGTAATCTTGTGGACCATAATAGATTTGGCTGGTTGGTATATCTATACATATAATAAAATTGTAACTAAGCCGAATTTCTACATTACATTTTCTGGAACATCTTATTGAAATAAACATTATTATCAATACAAAGGCCGAATCTATAGTTTTTAAGATTTTTGTCTGTCTGTCTGTCTGTCTGTTACCGCATCACAGAAAAACCACTGAAGGGATTTTGATGAAATTGGGTATGGTGATAGCTGGTTATAAGGGTAAACCATGAACGAAGTCTCTAATTCGTCCATGCGGTAAACATATAGGATACTTTTTACCGCGGGAAAATATCTCATTTCTGAGAAAAAAAACAAAAACTGCAATGTAAGAGTATACTAATATGTAAAACCTAAGAATTTGAAGGTAAGATTTTTAAAATATTGAACCGATTAAGCTGAATGTTAGCACGTAGACACAACATTTTGGACTAACACATGAGATACTTACTCATTTAGCTTACTTCTAAAGAGAAAACAACCTTTAATTAGAACTTTCAAATATGAGTGCTGTTTGCCTTACAAGTTTTTTCGTTTCTAAAATTACTTAGGTATATATTATCTATAGGTATAATATGATGTGAGTCGAACTGTAAACAAATCGTATTGTTAAAATATATACAGCATTCAACTGTTATAATTACCAATTTTGTTAAATTGTACTTTGGGAAATGAGTATAGTTCAGAGCTCATAGAATAAAGTAAATGAGACGATATAAATTCCATACTTAATCTCGTACCGACCCAATATTAAACAAATAGTATGAATGATGATTAAAACGATTGTATTATAATCTAAATATTATTTTCTAAAATATAAATAAAATTATAAGTTAATGGAGTGATATAAGTGAAACTAAAAGAACCGGAGGAGGTCTAGCGACTTCCTCCGGTTTCGCTCAAGTCATAGTTTCCGAAAATAGATCACCTACCTATATCACACATATACACCTATATCCATCCAGCCTAAGGAACATAAGGAACTCAGAAGACTAACAAAAATATACACACAACTTTTGCCAATATTAAACAACTACTTAATTTAAAAAAAATCCTTGTTTTAGAGTACCACGAAACAAAGTCCGTCCATAACAGTCGATGGGATCTCCACGTACCCCGGTCTCGGGTTTGGGCCCATGGGTCCTGTGGCGCCGCTGCCTGGGGAGCCCCCGGGCACACAGCTTCGCCAGAAGCAAGAGACTACTACTGAAACCACCACTACCGCAAAACCTAAGAAGGAAAGAACTTTTGTTATAGCAGCTGTTGAGTTCCACCGCGTTGAAACACCTTTCTTGATCGGCGTGTGGATTTTCTTCGCTAGTCTTGCGAAAATTGGTATGTACCTATTCTGATAATAAATAACAAAATTTTATCATTATATTACTTATTCGATTGATGTATATTAGTTAATTACTTTTACAAACAAGGGCTATGTAACTTGGCCTATATTCATACCTTAATAATTAAACCACTCTTCCCCTAAATAATTAAATTTTGAATTAATAACTATTCTTAATGGTGTGTACTATATATTATAATGACGTAGGTACTCGTACTTTCATTTATTTATGCTGGCACGAGGCAAGTGCAAAGTTCTATAACTACGCACATAAATATCCGTATTAGTTATTTATATTACATACAAGAATAATTAACTACATATTCGTAGTAATTTTGTTGATATACAAGCAGTCGTAAAAGGTGCTTAAATTATTTAATTGAAAGCAGACGACGTAATATATTATGATTTATTTTCTAAAAACCGACTTCAAACAAAAGCTCTAAAAAGTAAAAAATAACTGATTGGTAGTTTTCATTTACTATACATACTTAATCAAATATTTTCGAAGTCGGTGTGCTTTGCTTTGTATGGGCTGGCACCGATTTCGAAAATATTTGATTAGGTATGTATTTAATAGGTAGGCTTTAATTACTTAACCAAAGCACACCGACTTCGAAAATATTTGATTAAGTATGTATAGTAAATGAAAACTACCAATCAGTTATTTTTTACTTTTTAGTGCTTTTGTTTGAAGTCGGTTTTTATTTTTTTGTTAAAAATTTTTTATTTTTCCCTTTTTAGTGTAGACAGTAGTAGCAATGTAAGGATTCTAACATGTTAGGCTTGTCAAATCAAACAAAATAAGCCCAAACTCAAAGTATCTACTATTAGCCGTTGAAGAGTTCCACCTATCCATCTTCTGGCCTTGCCATCAGATCAGGTCAACAACACCGAACCACTGTACTATCAACGGAAATAGAAATACTTGCAAAGTTTCAAGTCAATATGATATTAGAAGTAGGTTAAATTCATCATTAGTTGTTTTTCCACCCTTAGGGGTGGTATTTTTTTTTGAAATTTAAATGGGACCAATCTGGAAGTATACCCTTTCAAACAAAACAAAAATTGTCCAAATCGGTTAATAAATGACGGAGTTCTGAGGTAACAAACATAAAAAAAAAAAAAAAATACAGTCGAATTGAGAACCTCCTCCTTTTTGAAGTCGGTTGAAAATAGATTTATTTTGGACTAATTAATATATTATAGCGGATAAATAATTAACTAATAAATAATATTAATTTTGAACATAACATTTTGAATTTTATCTTTTACTAGCACATTGAGATATTTTTTCGCGGTAAAAAGTATCCTATATGTTGACCCGGATAACCAGCTATCACCATATCAAATTTCATCAAAATCCCTTCAGCGGTTTTTCTGTGATGCGGTAATAGACAGACAGACAAAGTTAGTTACAATTTTATTATATGTATAGATATGTATAACCGTACATACAACAGTGTTCGAGAGCTTCATCAGAGAGGCGAAACTCTTATCAGAGCAGAGATCGAGCAAATGCGACGGCAGGCACACAGACAAGTCTCTATTGAATGGCGTGCACGACTGGAGAGTGAGAATAATTCACGCGCTGTTAATGCTATCCTTCCAAACTTTGAAACTTGGTTAGGAAGAAAGAAGGGTAGTATTACATTCAGATTAACTCAGATACTTACTGGAAATGGATGTTTTAGTGAGTATCTTCATCGGATTGGATGTGAAACGACCCCACAGTGTCACCACTGCAATGGTGAACGGGATGACGCACAACATACGCTAGAGCACTGTTCAGCGTGGAATTCCGAGCGGAGTAATTTAATACAAAATGTTGGAGGAGATCTCTCCTTGTCGTCTATAGTGGCGAGTATGCTGGCAGACGATAATGTATGGAATGCAGTAACCTCTTTTTGTGAGACAGTCCTTATTAAGAAGGAGATTTCAGAACGAGAACGAGAGAGGGCCGATCCCGCTCGACGAAGACGAAGGGACGCTGGTAATACACGTTCCCGTACATTAACAACGTAGCTTTGTTAAATGGACATAGGACCATGGAAGCATCCCTAAACTTCTAGGGGACTGTTGTGTCTAGAGATGTGCTTAATGTAGCATAGCGCAAGGAGAGTACCGGTGCGTTCTTAAAGAGATCCCGGTGCTTTCCGTTATACGCAGTAGATGGTAACCGAGGGGGTTTTAGTAGGTAAAAATCCTGCATATCCTAACCATCTCGTACGTTGGTTGGATACCTTTAGAAGATTTCCCCCTCGTTAAATTAAAAAAAAATGTATAACCGTTCGAAATTGAAATGTATAGATTTTTATCATTATTAAATAACATTTAAATGTAATAATTATTGTATACGGATAAGAGACGAAAGTGGTCACAAGAAGAATTTGAAGAACTTATGTATTGCTATTATAAATCAAAGCATGGTGGCGTAAGATATTTAAATAAATTAAAAACGTAATTTGTGGAGCGAAACCAACAAAACCCCAAAATAAATAGTTTTACAGTTAATATAATAGTAATAGGAGCAACAGGAGTATAAAATATAGCAAAATATTGCGAAAAACTAGAAGCTAATATAGATATAGGTGTACTACAGAAACAAGCCGCCATCCACTTTTCGAAAATAGTACACAAAGGATTAGCAAATAATATTTACATTAAAGCGTCTTAGTTAATACCACATTTTTTTTAATTACATAAATGGGCATTGTAACCATACTAATATTATAAATGTGAAAGTGTGTTTGTTTGTCTTTCTTTCACGTTGAAACGAAGTGACGGATTGACGTGATTTCTTTTGTCGAGATAAATGGAGGGCCGGAGAGTGACAGGCTACTTTTTACCGCGGGAAATAATCTCATTCCCACGGGAAAACACGCTATAATACAACCAAAAAAATATTTACGATCAAAATTACGTGAAACTTGGTATTAATATTCTTCAGTACCATTAAATAAATACGTATTTTAGCATTTTTCGAAATTCGTGCCGTAAGAGGGTAGAATAGGGGATGAAATTGTATGAAACCTACTTTTCTAGAGTTTTTCTGTAGTTTTAGCGCGAGCGAAGCCGCGGGTCCTGCTAGTAATTAATAATTATAGGATAATAAATATCTTTTTTCCTGACTTACTCGTAGGACGGAATAAATTGTTTATTTGGACTAATACGATTTCATCAATAGGGATAATTTAGGAAGGTTATAACCTTAACCTATAAGCTATAATATGTATGTACAAGATGATACACTCTTATACATGAAAAAAGCTACCGGATAATATTTTTTGAACTAAACCCCTTTTAGAGCTTAATTCGTCACTACTAGTCATTAGTATAAAGCAAAGTCGCTTTCCGCTGTCTGTACGGACCCTATGTATACTTAGATCTTTAAAACTACGCAATGGATTTTTATGCGGTTTTTTTTAATAGATAGTGATTCAAGAGGAAGGTTTAAATATATATTTTTTTAAGTTTTTGTATACATTGGCTAAAATATAACGATATTTGTTGGAGGTGTCGGAAAAAAAGCGGTCTGGGAGCTTTCAACGAAAACGCTGCCTAAAGTCTTTGAGATATAACAAAATAATGTATAGTGGAATTGTGTAGCTAATATAGGCCTACAGAAAAGTCCGCGATGGCATATGTCTATCTCTTAAGGAGAACATACTATATCCATATTCATATAAAACGTACGAGGGTGAGTCGCTAGTAATATTATATAGCCGAAATAAGAGGAAAATAATTATTGTACTAATATTCAAATCTAGGTATTTGACCTAAAACACTTTGTTAGTAATTTTATTTAAGGATGAATTAGTTTAGTATGGTGGCTAGAGATTAGAATAGGAACCCCATTGTTGTTTCATAACAACATCAACAACGTTGGGACCAAAATAAGGTATAAATACGTTAGTCATTGCTAACTCAAAATAAACTCTTAATTACCTACATTTACAACTAGGTAACTTATTTACTCTCGGTATTTCACTGAACCAACATTAATTACAAAGTTTTAAGATGATGCGAGAAAGAAAAAAGAAATAATCTTGTAATGAAATCAAATATTGCTACTTTGATGTTTTTGAGACTATGTTTGAATAATGTTATTTTAAATAACGAATGATTGATGCAAGTTTTGTTGAGCTATATTTATAAGTGATTGAAAAACAACATGAGGTTTATTCTTTTAAATTAATAATTGTAACTAGACATGGGTAACTCAATGAATTTTTATGAGCTGCAGATCAGCTCATGAGTCATATGCTTGAACCGGAGCTGTGAACCGGCTCACAGTTCAGCTCAATTGATGTTATATGGGTACTTATAACTATAGATTTACAGCTAATTTATGACTCTGTTCAAACAAATGACATGTATGATGTACCTAAATTATATTTGTATGTAATAAAGCAGCATTTCGAAAAAAGTTATTATTGTCATATTTTTTCGTTCTTACACAATTATAGGGGAATGCTAATTTCATGCAATTATTATAAATGTTAGTGAGTTTGTTTGTTTGTTACGCTTTCACGCCTTAACTATTCACCTGAATCTCGATTATCATTAAATACAGACAGAAAAGGACATAGAGTACCTACCTACTTTAATTAACGTAGGTACCGACTACCGTAGTTTCCTGTATCACGCAAGCGGAGCCGCGGGCGAAAACTAGTTATTTATATTTAATCTATAAAACTATTACTTAATATTAGTTTATTGTTGTATAAAACTAAGTAGTAGAACTGCCTTCCGAGACGGTGGTAACTTCCGCACAAACTAACTACACTGAAAATTTAAAATGTAAAATTGACGATTCAAAAGTGCTTGTAAAAGTCTATTTGAATAAAGTATATTTAGATTTTATCCTAATATTATTTTAAAACACGGAGCGTGTAATTAATTATTATTATTATAAGAATAAAAAATATTAAACAATTAATTTGACCTGTCTGTAAAAAGTATAGATTATAGACTATAGTACAGGTCCGTCGGCTCGGGTCCATCGAAATAGCTGACGTTAGGTGGCGCTGAAGTGATGCATATTAAGTAATATTGAGCTGTGAACCGATTATCTAGCAACTGAGCCGCAGCTCAACGGCTCTAGCTACTGTGAACTGAATATTTGAACCGGCTCTGAGCTGAGTTACACATAGTGAATTGTAACAATCATATGTTTATTATAAATTATAAATAACAGTTTTAATAATTATTCGTCTTTCTAGAACTAGGCAGTACGTTAAGGCAAACTCTGGACTTTCTTCGTCGTCTCACAGAGAACACATTTTTATACTTCCCCTTTAAGAAACTCCTACGGGAATTTACAGAGCCTGTGTTCCGACGTGTTCGAGTTTTATTTGTATCTGATCTACTACTTGCCCGTCTTACTTCATCAGATATAGATGATAGTTCATAGGTGAATATCGGGTCTGTATTAGTTGCAAAAGCAGTAATGAAAGGAGTCCTTGAGTTTGCATTGAATCCTGTGGTGCGCTTTTTGTACGCCTGTTTTCCGTGCGATGGACACTGGTCATCTATTTCTAAAGAGGATGTAAAAGTCGACATTGATAACTCTTCACCAGAAATTGGATTTGTATATTTATCTTCATATCTCAGGGTATGGAAATTTGTATAAAACCTGCTTGTGTTTTTATTTAAATCTAAAGAAGTACTGGAATCTTTGGGGTACAGCAATGAATTCATTGGATATAAATAATTATTTTTAAATTGACATCCAACGTCCCTTACGTAAACTACCGTTTTAACACAAGCGCTTTCTTCCAATGTGTCACATTTACAATCTAAACAATCATATTGACAGGATTTACTAGATCTACAACATTTGCACGGTATTTGCGTAGGCGCATGAAAAGGTGAAAGAGTCGGTGATGCACAGGGCAATTTAGGGTTTAAAATAAATCTTGGCGAATATTCACTGAAGTACTCACAAGTATTTTGTGTCCCATGTAATTGCTTTTCCGTTCTATTATTTAGAGAGTCATGCTGATGTTCGCCTATGTACTTATAATGTGGATTGCTAGTATGTTCTACACGGCCTTTATCAAAGGCCTGTTTTTGTAATAGTTCATCGTTATAAATTTTTTTGGAGAATGGTACACATAAGGGCAAGTTGACACAACGAGGACGATGCAAGCATGGAGGAATGTATTCGCAATTATTTTTAAGTACATTTATTCTTTGACATGATGGTACAACGGTACAGGGTGGATGGTGCCTACAAGCTTTTGTTACTCTTATCATCTTTTGGTTACATTTTGTAGCAGTTACATTTTCGACGTATTGCGTATTAACAAAACCATTATCGTTGGGTAGTATTTGGCAAACTGGCACCAACTCGCACGGCGGATTGTGGTTACAAATATCAGTATTCTCTTCTTTAATAATATTGTAAGATTCATTTTCTTGGTGTGATTCAGGACAACTATTTCTCGAAAGTGGAGAATTTTTAGACTTTATACTACACTCATCTTCCGTAGTACTCAAAATATCCAGTTTTTCTTTACAATGAGGACAAATAATTCTCTTTAGTTTTTTTTTATGCTTGCTCTTAATATTTGTGCTATTTTTGGTACATGTGTTAGCAACGACGCTTGGTTTATATTGCGTATCATTTGTTTGATTAGAAGGCTTTAAATTTTCAATTATTATTTCACATTTCTCGCTTAAGTCGGTGAGATGGGCACTTATCATTTTGTTTTCATAATCAAATGTATTTTTAACGTTCCTTATTTTGTGTTCATTATTATGCATACTTTCATCTCTTAGAAAATATGTAGTACTAGTGACTTGGTCGGCAACTGTTAAAGCTTTACTACTTTTTGCTAGTTCAGTCAAAGACTTTTTATCTGTGCAAGGACAGGCATAAGAAAATAATTGGCAAGGGCAAGGGTCCTCAATACGCTTGCCACGATCTTTTTTTTTACATTTCTTTTCTTTGGTTATTGGATATGCATACTCAGTTTTATATTTTGCAAATGACCAACATTTTTGCTGGTGTTCATCTTCTTGTATAGCATAAAAATTATTTCCTTTTGTATTACTATTATTATCATTCAAATATATCTCCGACGAAAGGTACGGTCTGTTAGGAAATTTTCTTTTAATTTGCTTTTCATTAATTTTTAAGCTATCTTTCATTTGTAATCTTGGTTGAATCTGTGCTGCACATTCTTGTACAATAGCTTCTGTTTTAGTTTCAAAACCAATTTTGTTTTGTTTGCCACTTGAAAATTTCAAAATTATACTATTTGATTTATTACTTAAATCTTTGGTATTAGTAACACAATGATAAGAATGTCTTTGTACAATTTTGTCCAAATCGTAAAAGAAAGTACTCGTAGATCTTCCAACAGATTTATTGCTACCATTTTTATTTAAGGCGTGATAATTTTCACTAGTTATGTATGTTGTGTGATTAAGCTGAATGGGATCCTGTACATCACACTTTCCCTTATAACAGTCATTGCACGATGCTCGGAAAACCGAAATGTTATTATTATTTCGCGGACAAAACTGATACACATCTTTGAATGATCTTGGCGCGAATATATCAAGTATACTTGTAAATGATTGCGATTTAAATTTCTTGATTTTTATTAAAGAGTTATCCATATCAACTTCTACCTTTAATAAACGATTAGAAACAATTTGTGTTTGTTTAACTCTGTTCTCATTACTTGAAAATTTGTACGTATCTTATTTATTCTATTTTTTTATTAATCAACTATTCAGTATTATTTTAGAATCATTTCAATGTTTTGTATTTTGATTACCTCACTGGCATTTTATTACTGTCACAAAATGTCATTTCCGAAGTTTTGGCTTAGTTTATGCATAGATCTGTGTAAACCTTTATGCCTGTGAAATGCTACAAACTTTATAAGTATAATATATAATATAATCGTCTGATATCTTTTTAATATTCTATAATTGGGTATAACAAAGCTATAGAAATATTATTTCTTTTAATTTGTTTCTTTATAAATATTTTTTTATCACACATAACGTTTAAAAAATTTAAGTTCCATTTTCGATTAATTTACCAACTCTATTAAACCCTAATATAAAAAATTAAATTAAAATATAATTTATATATTATGCTATCGGTAACATTATAAAAATATTATATTATATTTCGTTTGCAAAGACATTTATTTCCTTATGAAAGCTACGTAGTAAAAGTCCTATGTTCTATATACTAAGCATGTGGTTGTAGGTATAACCATTGTAGAGAATATGAAAGTTTAAAAAGTTCTAGATAAATATTTTTAAATATACCAATTAATCTAGGAAAAATGATGTGCCCGGGGGAGAAGCCAACTCCTACCGGGCGCGTCCCCAGGTGGCGGATAGGGGAATGCCACCCGCTTAGGGCGGCGGGTGGTACCGGAGAAATCCGGCGCGGACCAAATGGCTTGGATGGGGCCGCTCGTCTAGGCCTCGAGCCGAAGACGTTGCGGCCACCGGTGGTGGGACCGCTTGGTCCCACAACCGGATGATGGGTGCCGGTTGCGGGACTGTGGTCGCAGGCCCGCATTCGGCGGAGGGGTAGGCCGCGGCGGGAGAGGAGTGCCGGTATTTCGGTGCGCCGTTCTCCCTACCTTCCGCGGCCTAGACGGGGCCGCCACCGTTTGATGGCGGACGCGGTGGGGCTGCAGGGGAAGAGGAGTGTCGGTGTTTCGTTGCCGCTCTCCCTGTCCTCTGCAGCCGATTGGAGGTGGCCCACTTCGGTGGGCGGAGTTTCGGTTTAATGGGGCTGCTCCGGGTACCTCTCTGGTGTAGCAGAGTTGACTGTGGAGCAGCCCCATCGGTATGGTGGTCAGCCGTTGGCAGACCTGCCGCCGGGGCGCCGTAGTAGTTATGCGCAAGCGATCCTGCGGCGTCCCATTAAGACGGAGGGGAGGGGAATGTCGGGTTTTAGTGGGTAGTGCCGGCTCTTCTAGCCGGTGAGCCCCACATCACCACCTGGGGGATCAGGTGGTATGCGTAAATGCATTTCCCGACATAAAAAAAAAAAATAAAAAAAAAAAAATAAAAAAAAGGAAAAATGATGTGGATTTTACTCAAACATAATAATATAATTTTAGGACTTTTCTGAAATTATTTTTAGCAAATGATTGTAATGAAATGTCAATAACTACTTTTTGTTCCAGGTTTCCACATGGCGCCAAAGTTGTCAAAAATGTTTCCAGAATCTTGCTTACTTATATTTGTGGGAGTCTTAATTGGTGCTCTTTTGCTAGGCACTCACAGTGTTCATGTGCAACCGTTAACACCGGACACGTTTTTTCTCTATATGCTGCCGCCAATTATACTAGACGCTGGATACTTTATGCCAAACAGACTGTTCTTCGATCATCTCGGAACAATTTTGCTATTTGCTGTAGTTGGCACTGTATTTAATACTTTGACGATTGGTAAGCTTATAAAATTATTGAAAAATATACATTTTGATTTAGTCTATCTATTCCATACTAACCGTTAAAACGTATCTAGGGACAAACCCGAGTCGCTAGTTAAAATATTTGTGGACTTGACTATGTTAGATAATTTTCGATATTGTTTGTAACAGGTGCATCGTTATGGGCGTGCGGACAAACTGGAATGTTTGGGTGCACAACGCCGTTACTGGACATGTTGTTGTTTGGTGCGCTCATTTCCGCTGTGGACCCCGTGGCAGTTCTTGCGGTCTTTGAAGAAATACACGTTGATGAAGTTCTATATATAGTAGTATTTGGCGAGTCGTTACTAAATGATGCGGTCACTGTTGTTTTGTATCACATGTTTGAAGCTTATACGTAAGTATTTTAATTGTGTATATTAAAAACTTGTTTAAGGTTATGTTGGATTATAAAATAAATAAATAATAAATAAATAAATATTTTGGGATATTACCACACAGCACCATCTAGTTCCATGGTAATCTACGAGGCCTGTGTTATGGATACCAGATAGTTGATACATACATATTATAAACACCCATGACTGAAGTACAAACATTCGTGCTGATTACACAAATGAATGCCCCCAGCGGGATTCAAACTCGCGACCGCTGGCACAGCAAGTAGGGTCACTACAAACTAACCAAACTAACCAAATGAACTAATTAACAAATGATGTTACTCAGTAAATGAGACAAAATAAACACAGGTATATCAATTATCGTATTTAATAAAATTAATATAAGTCTCTTTTATAGGGAAATGGGTCCATCGCGGCTTATGTATACGGACTTTTTAGCGGGCTTTGCGTCGTTCTTAGTAGTGGCAGTTGGAGGGACATGCATTGGTTGTGTATGGGGCTTCGGGACCGGCCTCGTAACCCGGTTTACAAATGAAGTAAGGGTTATTGAACCCATATTTATATTTGTCATGGCGTACTTAGCATATTTGAATGCAGAAATGTTCCATATGAGTGGAATTTTGGCGTAAGTTGTTACAATTTGTATAAAATAAATATATTACCGATCTCTCAGTAATTAAACCAATGTAAAGAAAATATTTATTCTCACGTAATATGTTAAATACAATTATTATTTAATACACCCATATTACGTAATAATAAGCCATACTAGTATCGTTTATTGTTTTAATTAAATTGGAAATTATATTTTATTTATTATATTTTAGTATAACATTTTGCGGAATAACAATGAAGAATTACGTAGAAGCGAACATATCCCACAAATCTCATACAACTATCAAGTATACAATGAAGATGCTGTCTTCTTCATCTGAAACTATCATATTTATGTTCCTTGGCGTGGCTACTGTCAACAACAATCACGTCTGGAACACTTGGTTCGTCTTATTGACCATCGTTTTTTGCTCAGTCTTTCGCATAATAGGTAATTTATCATTTTCTCATTTTACATTTTTGAAGTTATACTTCTTTTGGCACGTTTGGAAAAAAACTGGTAGTAAAATTTTTACGATGCGCGCGCACACCGACAGCCAAAAAGCGACATGATGAAGTTAGCTGATAACTAACGTTACTCTATAACAAGAGTTTTATATCAGTGGAGATAAAAAACATGTTTATTTTTATTAATTTATCATTCCTTTTACAAACAGAGAGTAGCGACATACGGGATGAAATCTTTAGCTATTTTTGTTCTGTTACGCTAAAGAAATATAACTTCTTACGTGCGTACATAAGTACACACACACGTTTTTTTATTTCATGTGTCAATTTTAAAAGCTAATAATTATTCATGATTTTTCAGGTGTTTACATATTTAGTGCGGTAGCTAATAAGTTCCGTTTGCACAAACTTAATACAGTTGAAAAATTTGTTATGTCGTATGGAGGTAAAAAACACATCATACTTGTGAATTATGTAATTAGTAAAAATAAAAGAAACGATAGTTTAGAAAAAAGATGCAACATATTCAAAACTATTAAATTTAATAATACCGTATATAGTACCTACTATATTATATCAGCATTGTAAAACCACTCTACTTTTTTTGCCACCAACTAAGCTTTTAATTTTAATAAGATTGAAAGACGTATCCAATCTTGTAAATGTAGCCTTACAGAAATAGCTGACAGTATATCATGCACGTTTGATTATGTAGGGAAGCAATAAAAGACTTTGCGTAAACAACTACACCCATGGCCTATAAATTCAAATTTACACATACAGGTCTTCGAGGCGCGGTCGCATTTGCTTTGGTGCTATTAATAGACCCAGAAGTGGTAAAACTTCAGCCTATGTTCGTCACCACTACCATTGCTGTTATATATTTCACCGTGTTCATTCAAGGGATCACAATTAAGCCATTAGTCAGAATATTAAATATTAAAACTGTTGAGAAGAGAAAACCAACGATGAATGAAAGAATTCATGAGCGGGTAACTTTGTAAATCGATCTTTAAGAATAGTTCTTTTTTTAATTTATAAATTATTCTAATTCATATTTTTTTCAGTTTATGGATCATTTGATGGCAGGAGTAGAAGATATTTTGGGTAAACATGGCAATCATCACATGAGGGATAAATTTAAGAGATTTGACAATAGATTTATTAGACCCTTCTTATTAAGAAATTATCAGGTAATTATTACCGTGTAATTAGTGCTTGAGTTATATATAACAGTAAAAGTTTACTATAGAATTCAAAATATGAAAGTTTGTACTTGTAATGTTCTTCTGATATTTTTTAAATATTAGTAGATTGTACTCTTCAATAAAAAATGTGTGATGAGGATTCATCAAATATCCTTATGCATATTAGATAAACTATTCTGTATATGTTTATAAGCAATACATTAACTATGAACATATTTAAAAAAAAACTTAAAAATACCATAAAAGGAAGTTTAGAGATAAATTTTAGTATATCATATATATTTTAATAAATGTTTTACTGACAGGGTGCCGAGCCAAAGATTCTTGAAACGTATTCGAAGCTCGCGATGAGAGATGCTATTGAATACATGCAAAGGAATGCTTCAACGATTGGTAATATTTCCGGCGCCGAGTCAATGTCGGCTATCTTTAAGAACTACACTGGTGCGAACTTAAATGGAAGGTGAATTAATACAATAAACTTATACATATAAGTATTAATATAATATGTCCTTAAGTAATTTTAATGAAAGCTAAAAAGTATTAGATTTAGAGCAACCAAATTAAAATGTATGTATTAAAAATCTAACCTAAATATACAGCATAAGTTTCCAAGTTACTATAACCTAAAGCAAAATATTCTCCAGCCGTATAATGATAAACTATATTGCTTTAAATAAATTTTAAGTGCATTGTCTTCTTTTCAGTCCTAGTTTTAGTCAATTAGACTCATCAACCTGGAATATAGATATGCAGGAATTGGAGTATAATCCGTCCAAAAAGGATTTAACAGATGCTAGGATCCATCACCTTCTTGCTGAAGAGCTATGCAAACCGTATAGACGTGTAAGGGTATTTATTCAAGTTCCACTATTTTACTAACAAATTGCTATAACATTAACACTTAGTAATTCAAAAAATTGCTTATAAATGCAATATCTCCGTTAAAATTAAATACGAAAAATTATGTCATGTAATTTGTCTAGCATCGCCGTTTGAGCTACAGTAGACATGCTGTGAACGACCGTGACTTGGGAACACAGGTTAATTACAAAACGCACATGAATATACGACGGTTAGTCGGCGACCGGAAACACCATCACAAACGGAGTAAACGTGGAAAGCAAGTGAGTGGAATAGAAAAAAATGCTTATTATTTACTTTAAATGCTTTAAATGAATAACCCATAATTTTTTTAGGACAACAGAAACTCACTAATAGACTCAAAGTAACGCAAATATAATTTGTTTGTCCTCTGCATTTTGTTCTTAGTTTTTTACAATTTAAATTCATTTTTAGAATAATGATTATTTTAATGTTAATATATTTTTATTGCAGGATGGAAAAAATCATGTAACTTTCCCAGAATTCCAACAAAACGGTTCGGCCAAACAGTTCACGCACGGTAAAAAAAAATATTATAGATTAGGTACTTAATAATTCTTTAATAATACCACCAGTATCAGTCGCATGCACGTGTGGGTTCTACTTTATTTATTAATCACTGGCACCATTATTATATTATTTTGCGACACTTTTGCTTTTTAGCTGAAACTTTGAATTTTCAACAGTGTTACACAATACACACGTCTTGTAGGACTCAATTGTTTTATTGCGATTTTTTTAAGCACAAGCTAATTCCACTTTTGTTGCATGCGAGCTCATATTTAAGTTAATTAAACAAATAGAAACTGAAAACGCTGGTAATTAAGAAATAAACATAATAATTTCAACTTGAAAATAATAATAATTAAAGTATGTACCCAAATATCTTTAAGCTAAAACGTAAAATCTGACGAGTTACAAATGCACTATCTGGTACAAAACCTATCTTTATTGTGTTAAAAGTAAGTTTCCATTGTCAACAGACTATATAGACGAGGTGCTGCAGGAGGACGACGAGCCGCGCCGTGAGACCGATGATGGCGGTATTACTTTCACTGCAAAATCCCCGCGTAGGTATTCTGCATGTAAAATGTTGTTATCCTGATCTGAATTTGAACATATATAACCATAGAAATTTATAATAAGTTTACTAACACCTCCAGGTAAATTTCTAATAAATTAATTAAAATTCTAAGAGCGGATTCAGCGGTCGTGGAGGGACTAATTAAATAATATAATTTACTTTTATAAACATGTTCTGATTCAGAATCATTGTTGTTGTGAAAAATATGTTTTTAATTTACAATCATCTAAATCAATAATTATATAACCACTAAACTGTTAAGGGACTGTTTCATTTGGTATGTATATTTCGCCAACGGAAACAAATTATTCTTGACACTTTTTAAGACCGGGAATTTCATTAATATTTGTGGTAGCATGATGTAAAATAATTCATTTTAAAGTTCGTTTTACTTATTTATTCATTTATATTAATTTCAATCAATGGACTGATTTCGCTTCGTCGCTTGATTTTACATATTTTGTATGTTTTCCTCATTTTCATTTAATCAACTATTTTTATTATACTTATTAGTAACTTATCGCTAAGTTTGCTAGTTAATTATGTCATGTAAATCTTATATTTTGTAATAATAAGTACTTTTCTCTTGCTCTTTGCTTTTTACCATTGTTTGATTGTCGTTTTCTTCCCTTCTGGCAACTTCATGTGGCATCGCAAACTAACCAATACCCCCATTGGCGATATAATATCAGCTGGATATAATGAAGTCAGTCCAACATCTTCGCATAAAGAGAACAGTAGCTCTCTTTTAAATCAATTGGCTAACCTGCCTGGCTTCAATCCCCTGAAAGCAAGAATCGTAAAACAGTACGCTAAAACGCCTGAAGAAATACTGCCTACAGCTGTTGAGAAATCTTTACCGTGGAGAAGGGACAGATCCACGTATAATTTCGGTATGTTTACTAAAAAAATTAAACTTTCGCTTATGGATGACCAAAGGTTAATTTACTGCATATTAATATTTTTTGTAAGCTTCGTCATGTAAGTTTGATAGGGTGCTTTTTGGTCATAAAATCTTAGTTTAAGACTGTCTTGCATGCTTAATAAATGTAGTAGAGCTAAGTAAAATTAGTCAACAGCTGCATCACAATTTTCATCAATCATAGCCAGATATATATTATAAGCAAAATTGATTATAGTCAAATTGAATTAGTTATTAACGTATCTAGAACAATGAATATAATAATTGTTAATGGTATGTTTTTAGATGCTATAGACATTGAACTATATCTAGCTATAATCGGTGCGAAACGTGGCTTTGATAAACCTTATGCTAAAACCTTAGTATGTAGTAAAACGACTTTTTTACCTTCACGTATATTTTATTTTATATCTTTGGTTGGGTGTAAGAATTTGTTGGTGACGGAAAGGCTGACATATTTAAGACTTGGTTTATAATGCAAAATATATGTTACTTTACTTAAAAAGTAGTAAAGTCATGATTAAGAAATCACAACATATAAATGTAGAGAAATAAATAAGAAAATAGATCAATTTAATTGCTTAAGTACCTACAATTTATAAAAAGATATATATTTCCGAATATAAATGTATTTTATAAGCTATATTTAACCGTATTCACTTTTTTTTATAAATACATAATATAAAGTTAATTTCATAAAAATAATATAATAGTAAGTAGGTATTAGGTTTATATAATACATAATCATTATATTATGTAAAAATCATCTAGCTACATAGAATTTAAATCTTTTGTCATTTATTAGGCATACTTCCGTTTGAATTATTGCCAACATTAAATAGCAAATGCATTTTCCTTTACTAATGCCAAATTCTAATATAGACGCATGAATAGATTTTGTTGATAGTTTATTTTGAGCGAGAAACTAATATTCAAATTTTCCACTTTTAGTTCCCAATGAGGATATTTTAGAAGAGGATGAGCGAAGAATGTCCGAGGACAATGGTAAATGCATTTTCTAGTTTATTGATTTTATTAATGGCTCATGAAGTCTGTTTCATCGCTATATTGCCGTAATTTTGTCATATCGAATAAGTAGGTAGGTACATATTCTTTCAGCAGTACCTACTTGTTGATGAAACAAGATGTCAAATATCTAAAAAAAGTAAATTATGTTTCTTGGTAATAAATTGTAATATACCTACGTTTCTATATAATTTATAGAAACGTATGGAAATTATCCGCCTATTCACATTTCTAACATTGCAACATATCTATATGATATTTTTTCCCCGCAGAGCTGGTTTATAACAAAATTTTCTTTATATTTAACAAATATTTATATTTATTATTATCCCACGGGAAGTGTAGATTTTTCCGAGATAAAAAGTGCAATTCCAGACTATAATCTATCTTTGTGCCAAAATTCATCCAGATCCGTTCAGCCGTTCTGACGTGATTGAGTAACAAACATCCAAACATCCAAACTTTCACATTGATATATAATATTAGTAAAATGTGAAATTATATACTTTTTAAATAACCTTATACTTATCTATCTAGATACATATATGACAGTAGCAGAGCAAGCACGCGTCGCGACTCCAACTGCTACAGAAACCATGTTGCCATGGAAACGAGAAGAAGCCGAAGGTACCACCGCCCTGAAACAATCAGAGTTTCCCTCTTGGGCGTCCAATAAGGAGTACTTGGCTTACAGCTCACCCTCTGCAACATTCTTAGGTAGACTTTGATATTAAATATTTTATAATAAATATGTATGTAGTATAAATGTGTATGTGTGTATGTCATACTTTTAAAAACAGTTTATAGTATAACTTGAACGAAATATATTACGAAATTTCAAAAACTACTTAATCATGATTTAATAGTTTCTGTTATGTATAACATATTTTTATATTATAACACGATTCTTTACGTAACCTTAAAAGGTATGTAAAGAATCTTCTATGAAACTTTTTTGAAGAACGGATTACGGCCGTGAAATGGAGTACAAATATTGTTTATTAAAAATTATAAAACGAGGGTTTAACATTTTTGTAAAATTCTACTTGCCAAAATGGTAAAAACTTGCACAAATTATGAACCTGAATTGGACGACGTCAGGGATAACAGTTGGCAACCAACTTATATAATAAAATGTTTTGAATATTTCATATGGAAAACATTCATATATTACGTGACTATGTAAGCATATTATAGCAAATTTGCTTGTTTATGGTATTAAATGGGCCAAATTTGTGTAATAATTATAGTGCGTTCTAATCGATTTCTTAGTATCTACTATGTATTAAATTGTCTTTCAGACAAGTTACGTAAATTTATTGTACCCTCCCAACAAAATACCTACATTTATTATGTTTACAATACTCACTGATCTATCTACCGTAGATATATTTTATATAGGTATCGATAGTTATTTACACGGGCTACAATTGTGACATCAACATCATTAGCAAATGCATGCAAACCATGGTAATATTATGAATATTATTTTAAACGCCGTCCCCTTATTAGTAAAACAGTTACTAAATATTTCAAATTTGTTGCATTTTTTGTAAAACATTTCGCTACTTTACAAGTTAAGCTTTTGGCACTTACCTTACAGAGATACTTGCACTTTTGAACTTATTAAACCTTTTTTTGTTTTGACTAAAGACTGCTTTAAATATCAATAAAAGTTAATTTAAAAAGCTTCATCCAATAAACTTAATTCTAGCTTAATGACACTTAAATAAGTATAATTACATCTATCTCATTGATTTTCTTTTTTCTTTTCCCTTACCGTCCCCCACCCGTTGTTACACCCTCATCGCCATCCCAATAGGTGGTATAGAGAAGCCAAAACATCCAAAATCTATCATAGGTCTATTCCGAAGAGAGAGCTCTAGTTCTACGCAAGCTGCAGATCTGCCAGTGATGTCGGATTCAGAAGGAAAAGCTGATTCAACTAAAGGCGAGAGCTCTTCGATTAAAGGAGACTCGTTATTTGGACAGTCAAAGCAGGGTCCAAGTTTGTTATCGAAAAGAAGTACAAGTCTGGGTGGACCATCAGTATTACTCATGGAAGATGTAGCACATTCCGATCCACTTGGTGCTTCATCCCGACCAGCTAGCATAATGCAGGGACCACACCGAGGTCAATGTAGGAGAGGATCTATGCTAGAATTGACTGGGTACGTTTGAAAACTTATTTAATATATGTAAATGTAAACTTAAACACACTGATATTTATTAATATTATAATTTTATAATAATATAACTTCACGCTCTACTCTCTATTTTCTAATATAATGCTTTCGCCGTAAGTAGACCGAGATGAGTATTTGTATAGTAATTCGTATATTATCCTTGCACGGGGTAAGACCATTGGCGATTTTAAAGGATGAAAGAAGAACTGTGGCTAAAACACAACTTACTAACAAGATGTTATAAAGCACTTGTTTATTTGTACCTACCTATAGAAGTAATAAAAAATAAATGTATTAAAAATATCTTATCGGTAATTAGTTCGACTGTTATTACTTTTATAAATAGCGCATAACTATACGCTGTTATTTAAAAATATTTTCTTTCATTTTTCAGTTCTTTATCTCGTGACGCAATCACTGAAGAGAAATGCAGCAAATCTCTACCAGAAAGCGAGCGTATGGGTGTCCGGCGTTTAGCTCTGGGCCAACAGAGTTTGCCACGAGAAACCTTTAGCCGTCAACTTACCATGGCTTCTAACCTTCTAACTAGCTCCTCTTCCGATGACTCATCGGACGAGAACACCTGAGTGCCCCGCCGTGGTGACCAAGATAGGTTGCCACTGCTTAAGTACAAGACACTAGAGTGAATTCATTATAATTGTATGGCCTCAATGTGACATTTTGTGTGTATGGTGACGAAATCTGGCGATGAAAAGGTAATTTCACGCCTGTAACTAAAGTGTGATACTGCACCACTGTGAGTGTAGACTCTTGCTACTGTACCGCAACGTTTGTATTTTATCTGTGCCATAAAAAAGATTCCAAAATTGACAGGTTTTAGATCATTTAATAGGTATTTTTGTTACGATCATATTATTTAACTTCTAAGTACTTTTTTAACGACATTGGTTTATAATGAGTATCTATATATTAGCTTCCTTTTCGTATTTTGTTAACTCTACATAATGTAAGAAAATATTTTAAGAAATAGTAATCGCTGGTAGTATTGAAACTTATCAGTATTTTTCTATGCTCTTTTAACAAATATTGAAGTGGTGATATCCTTTTAAACCAAAACCAAATATAGTTTATAATACTTATGTAGTAATTATATAAAAATGAAATGTAGAACAACTTTTGAATTCATTCAAAATATGGCACCTGTTGCCAATGACAATACATACAAATAAGTAAAATGTAAATAGTGTGTAATATACATATATATGTATGTATGTACCTTTTTTTTTAATAAACTTACCTAATCACCTATGGCTTAACGATCAGACGTTTAGAAAAGCTCACATAAGGCTAGTAAAGCTAGTCTTTTCAATAATACTTTAATGTATGTTATTATTAAATTATCCTGAAAATTTTTGCTAATATTTTTGCTTCGTAGTCAAAATGGAACATAATTTAAAATATATATTTCCACATTATGGTATAAAGTATTTATTCTTACTGTCATTGGCAATGTGAAGTCGAAAATTTTGTATAAAAGTAGTATTTTAAGATACAATTAACAACTAAGATAATAATACTAATCTTTATTGTTAAATTGGGCTTAACCAATGCCGAGCAATAGGTAAAAAATGTTTATAAAATAAAGCACAATCAGAAGTGTAAGAAAAAAATCTTTGTGATGACGTAGGTAGTGTGATCTCGTAAGTCGTAATTAATTTTACGCATTCTGATATTGCTTTAATATCCATAGCTGATAGCGTCTCTTATAAACCGCCATTAATTACTATGCTTGTATAAATATTAGGTAGCTAAAAAGTTGAATTGTTACTAGAAAATTGGTTTGTACTTATATCTAGATCAATTAAGTAATATTAATGAGTTTAAGGCATTTAGTACAATAATAGGACTAGATTACCTTGGAAATGATTTACTTTAAATACCTGTTTCGTTATTCAGTACATAATTAGCAAAATCAATAAGTAATTATCTACATATGTTCCTCCAAAGTACCTTACTTACCTACACTCTTTAGTCTCTATCATGGGCCCATAATATTTTTCGGTAAACTACGAAAATTAATTATTCTTCTTTTCATGAAAATATTCTTTGATTCAATTCATCGAAAGTCTTCAATTCTTTAGTTTTTAAAATGAATTAGCAAGGCTAGTGACTCAAAAATATTTATAATGTATAATACGTACTTGTGCTGCTTAAAAGTTCAGACGTGTACCAAAACCTATATATTTGTCTTATGCCCGATTTCACCAACAACCCATAAGCTACCACCTACGTATGGGATCCCTAGCTTAAAAGTCCCCTAAACTAGCCCCTAAATTAAATTTTGTTTTGCGATCGTCTTTAAGCCCATATTTCGAGCACCTATATTTAGGGGCCTTTTAATATTTAGGTGACCCCTAACTGTCGGTGAAACAGAAATTGTCCCCTAACTGTCGGTGAAACAGAAATTGTCCCCTAACAGCCCCCTAACCATGCTTAGGGCATCCCTTTAACTTAGGTGACGTTGGTGAAATCGGGCATTAGATTTCTTAATGTTTATTTTTTGTCTATACAAAATAATATAATTCATTTAATAGAAATATCGATATCGTGCATCATAATATTACGATATAAACAAGTAAACGTTTTATTACCATTGTATAGGAGAGCCAATGCTATCAATTATTTGATTTAAAAAACCTCGATAACTAATTTGCGACTTTTCAGAGCTTTTTAGAGTACTTGTGTTTGCAATTTAAATATATTATGCAAATCCATACGTATGACGATTTATTCGTTTATGTATTGACGATAACCATTTATCTATAGCCTATGTGACAATGACTTAATCGTACTTGCTAATCTAACATTCAACTTTAGTACTGTAACTGGTGAAATAGCACATAAAAAATGATTTTTGTGCTTTCAGTGTATTTTTATATGAGTGATGGAAATATTTTATATCATCAATTGTGCATAAAAATTAAATTCTTCAGATGTGTCGCAAATTGCAATACAAAGACACGCGTAAAAATTTTTAGAACTCCTACTTCTTTCTTACCTACCTACTATCGTCAGGGCCCTGCGGTGCTATGATGCAAAGAAGCAGGCTCATTAGACTTTTGAAGTATATTTAGCAACTAAGTACCTACATTTACCAATTTTTCAATATTTATATTCAACAAAAATTTCTAATTAATTTAGGGCACATCGAAAATGAAAGTTAAAATCAGTTTCTGTTTGTAATTGAAAATATTTTATTTTATCCTGTGCATTTTTTAAATCCTATTATTTGAAATACACTTATGTTAATTTAAAAATTAGGCAAGTGCAAGTCTTGAATTAAACCCGAGGCGCATGGTTCTGTAGCAAGATTTTTTTTTACTATATGGTTTTTAACATATTATATAAATTATATTACGTTAAAAATAAATTAAAATAAATCTAAAATATTCATTTCATACAAATATAAAATTTTATTTCATTGTACATATTTGTATTTTGTACATAATATGTACATATGGATGAGAAAAAAAATGTTTTGTGGACAAACGCATCTCGAAAGCTACTCAACATATCTTCTTCAAATTATTTTCTTTGATAGTTTAATTTTCATTAAAATTTAAAATCTCACTTATTTTTATTGATTTTCAGTATTTTCATCTCATATTTCAAAAGTTAGAGATGGTGTAACAATGTTAGCGATCTTTATAAGCATTAACTTTGTTAGAATTTGCTTATTAGTTAAAGACATTTTGAATGAAACTATCTTTTCGTTTCCCATGACTATGATTGTTGTAAGGCATTCGAAACGCCGGGAACCAAAAATCAAAATAAATCCGCGTGGAAATCCGAAAAGACAGTTTCGTTTAAAATGTCAAATATTTGCGTAATAATAGTTAAAGACAAAAAATGTGCATTTCAATTTTAAAGACTTTCCACAAATATCGTTATTTTATGCCTCGGTGAGCACTCACATTTGTTTGAGGAGGACTAATTTTTTATTTTTCTAGCAGTTCCCATGAGATACGTCCTTACCAAACAGCAATATAGCTTATAAAATTACTGTGATATACGGATAGACGGACAAGACGAAATTTAAAGTATTCGGTTTTTGCCTTTCGGCTACGGAAGTATAAAGAAAATTACCTAGCGGCAGCATTTCAAATACTTTCATGATTCATCACACTGGGAATATCTACCGCACGGCCCTGACTATCGTCACGAGAGTTGTGATATTGTAAATAGTTAATTGATATTGTAACTACAAGCTAAGTGAATTTATGTTACAACTTATAACGTAGTTAAACAAGTTAATATGTAGATAGAGATTTGACAATAGAGTAGATTATTTTTTTTAAGCACGTATATTGGGATTTTTTATGGTATAAAATCAAACTTACCAGAAACTATTTGTAATAAAGCAGCCTACAGCATTTTAAATATTATGATTTGTTTAATTACTCAGACTAAAGAATTATATAGACGTGGCTCGCCAAAAAAATATAAAAGTCAAAATTATTTAGTACCTACTTGCGTGATTTTTTCGATTTTGCTATACAGGTCTTTTCCTTTCTTCAAAAAATAAATGAAATTTTATTGATAAGTCGTTAATTTACAATTTTGGAGAAGAAAATATGAATCATAAAATAAATATTATTCTTTTGTATTTTTAAATTACTTCTCTTCCCCTTGAAAGAGAAAATGCGTAAGTAATATTAGCTTATTTAATATTTTTTTCTCTATTATAATACATTCCGTTATCTATTTTAATTATTAGCAAATATTTACTTATTAAAGTAATGAGTATTCTATTAATATTTATATTCTATTTTAAAACATTATATAATATATGTATGTATATAAAAAACAAACATTTTCTGGCTTCATGTTGAGTTCTATGTCAGTATAATATTCCTTAGTCTGAGATTCATTAGTCGTTGGGTTAGTACTATAGTGATAAAAACACTGTTATAAACATAATGTTTTTAAATAAGCTCTGATTTTGCATAATTTTTATTTCTTTTGATGATTTTAATATTTTATATTTTGCGTAGAATTTATATAAAATAATACTGCGGATTCCTATCAAAATTACTGATAGGACGGGACCGTGAATCATTTATTATTATATTTAAAACTAACTAATCAACCAGATATAATAAAAACAAATATAACTAAGCTTTTCACGAACTATGGTGTGTCAATTGAAAATAAATAGTGCCTAGCTTAGATAACATCAGCTCATTGTTTTAGTAATGTTACCTAAAATTGTTATATTATTACAATATTATAGTTATTAGAATGTAATTTTTTTCTTTGGAATAAATATTATAAAAACTCTTGTCTTTATGTTATTTTACCACTATAACTATCTACCAAATTGAGCCGAACCTGGAAAAGTATTAAATACTTTTTACCCTTATATTATTAGTCTTGAATAGAAAGGAACTGGAATAATAAAGTTAAATTATCTTCTCACAACTTACAAACAACCCATCTAAATAAGTAAAAATGTTCTGATTAAAAAGTTCGAGTTTGGACTCTTTGAGTTTGAATTCCCGCCATAAAGCATATCTTTCGACAAGTTCAGCTAGATGGCATACTTGTCTATGTTTTGACAACTTGCTGTTTTTAACAATTTTACTCAAATATTAATTTACAATAAAGAAATTATTAAATCTAAATTTTTAAATAAAAATTAATTATTTATGGTGATCATTAAATTACCTTCAAGTTTTGAACATAACTTATTTTCGCCTCGTGACTAATTTGGCGTATAATACAATATCTTACTTTTATCTGTAGTCTGCTAGCTAGCCCGTATGCTTGTTGTCTTGTGGTTTTTCTTCCTGTTTATAATTTTCATGAAAAATAACGGAAAATGTCGCGTAACTGTAAAAGCTCATTTTAAGTAGATTTATAATCAAATGGTTTTAACAATAGTTATGGGTTCCTTTATTTGTTAGTGTATAATATTATGTGCTGCAAAGTTATCAAGACGAGAATGAAACATACTTTTGCATTGTAGTTAATAATAAAAACGGTAAGTGACATCTTAAATGTAAATAATAAATTTTAAAGCTTGAATATTATGATAAAAATATATTTTTTTTATTTTTATGTGTAAGCCCTATTTACAAATACATGTATATTTAAAATAATGCCTTTCTAACACTATCATTGTTATTGTTTACGATATAAATTTATCATTATAATAGTTTATAATATCCATTTAATTGAAGGGAGCAATTTAATGTATAAAGCAAAAAAAAGTCTTATTGTTCATTGGTTATCACAGCTACTTTTATAATCTTATCTAGGTAGCTATCAACAAGTGTGCCTTACTTCTGCCTTTTTAAAACATTATATCCAAAGCCGGCGACAAATTAAATATTAAAAATGTACTAAAAATTTTTTAAGGTTGATTATATTAGTATAAGAATATATTATGTAAATTTTAAATATACAAGATTTTTAAATGAGTCTCTTAGGTAATTAATTATATTGAAATAATGTAATAAATAAGAACTGGATTTTATAAAATTATTTGTTGGATTCTATAAAATTAAATTATGTCATTTACTTTTAAAAGAGCACTACAAAATGTTAAACTAAAAAAGAAAAAAATATAACTTTTCAGTTTTTTTGTTAAATATTATACATTCACTGAATATGTATATTATTGAAAAATTACATTGTAATTAGTGAATATAACTGCCCTATTTCATGCTATTACATATATGTACAGATATTAATTTGAAATTGTAATTAAAAATGATAGAAGAGAGAATACATTTAAAACTGTTTTTATTTTAACATTTATGTTTTATTATTATATCTATCATTGAGAAATTAAAACTTCATATATAAAAAATTTGAATTATTAAAAACAAGAAAATATAAAATATGGTATATCAATTATTCTTTTAATGCAATAAGCTTGTTACTTTAAAAAAATGTATACTAAACTAAATCAAAGTAATTTTTATACAGCAGTGAAGATGGAGCATGCAGACTTGGTGGCAGAAATGGTGCAGGTCGAGCACCTTACAACACAGGAGAGGCTTCATCTAGCTAGACGGTAAATTTAATGATTTTTTGGTATAATGAGTAAAGAAATTAATATTAACAATCCTACAGAACTAAAAAATGTTATGTTTCTATGATATCACATTAATATTTTTAAATAGTTTTGTATACTGTCATATTTTTTCTGGATTAAAGCACTTGCCGATAATTGTCATGATGCAGGTGTTGTGTGATTCAATGTAAATAATACTGCTTTATTCTCACCAAAATTATTATCAGTATATTACATAGTAGAGGTATTTAAATAACATTGCTATAAATCTGATTAAATTAATCATCCAATTATAAAATGATAAAAAATGATAATGAAACTGTTAATATTGACTTGTATCTCCAAAACTACTTAGTCTAATGCCTAGTATGTACAAAGGACAAACCAAGGGGTGTTGGATTTGAGTACAGGGTTGAGACAAAATATGTATTTACAGGGTTTTTCTATCAAAATCTCAGTAAAAGCCCAGAGATAGGAAGTTGTTGGTGTTTACACATCCATGCCTCGGTGCTCAGTAAGCACACACACAGCAACAGCTTACTGTTGGTCCTGCACCTTACTTACTCTCACCAGTTGTGATGAGAGAATGCACTTATGCATGAGAACATATCCTCGTATGCTAGTCTAGAGATCGCTAGACTTAAAATTTGAGAGAAAGAAATTGAAAATCCACTAGGAGGATATTATTATTATCATAAGCATAGTAACATAGTTCTTTTTCTCTTTGAAGTTGGTTCAAAATATATAATCTGTCTGTTTCTGCACTATTAATTTTAAGAAACTGGTCAGATTTTAGAAACTATGTATATGGTAAATCTTTGGTTACGTTGCTATACCCTATATTACTAGGGTATGGCAGTAGCAGTCTAAGCTTTATAAATACAGTACTAAATATTTAGTCAAGAGTTATATTATTACTAGCGACTCACCCTCGCTTCGCTCAGGTTCGTCCCTAGGTACGTTTTAATGCTGCTTTTCAAAAAAAATATTTCGTGAATTTTTCGATGTTTTAATAGTTATTCTGCTATTCGGAATGAAGACAAACCCAACAAAACAAATATCATAAAAATCGGTCCAGCAGTTCACGAGTTATAACTTATAAAGTGTTGTAAAAAACCCAACTTTGTATTATATACCTATATAAAATTCTGTATTCTTCCTTGTATTCAGCCCTTTTTAACGTCCCACTGCTGGGCACGGGCCTCCCTTCAATACGAGGAGGATCAGGCCATAGTCCACCACGCTGGCCAAGTGCGGGTTGGCGGACTTCACATGTCTTTCGAAAACTTGCTAAGTTCTTTCAGACATGCAGGTTTCCTCACGATGTTTTCCTTCACCGTAAGGCAAGTGGTAATCATGTTAGAAATGATTCGCACATCTAAATATCAGAGGTGCGAGACCCGGGATTTGAACCCGCTTCACTTAGTTTCCCAAGCGAGAGCGTTACCACTGGGCTATCACTGCCTTATATTCTTCATTAATAGATATAAATTAAAAACAAATAATTCGATTTCACTTCAATTTAATAGCTTCAAAAATCGTAAGTTAGTTATAAGCCCCCTACGTCCCTTGCCCGTTGTGGTAAAAATGATTTAATAATAGTAGTTGGTACAAACCCTTCTCTAGCGCTGGTAAATGAATTTACATATATGTGTCACGTGTACTGCAGCTGTTATGTGATCACTCATCGGTTACAAAGCCTAAATCGGTTACATCGGTTACTAAGCACTAAAAGCCAACAGAACCTTCCCCGTCCTAGTGGGCCGCGGGAACTCTTAAGCCTAGTTCGCATTAAGCTAGTATTTTAGTCTAGTAGCGAGTAATTTAGTAGCTAAATTACTCGCTACTCACCAAAAATCGTTCGCACTTTGGTCGAGTACAGTTTACAAGTGAGTGGTGTTTTGCAAGATGAACAGCCTACAACGCAATAAAGTAAATAAACTGATTAAGCTGATCGTAACGGCTATTTTAGAAGAGGTGGATGAGGAAATTTGTGTGATTAATAAAAAGAAGCTATGGGTACGAAAATGGTATATTCATTATTTTTTCCAAATCTAAGTATGCGGAATGTTTCATATGCTTGTTTTTATAATGCAAGGACCTAATATTCCACAAGCATTCGTGTTCAACATATTTCGAAACAAATTTAAAAGTCATTTCTTTGCTCCAGCGAAACGACAGTATGGCGGCAACTAATGAACTCGACTAATTCGACAGGTTCGTACTTATTTAGCCGGTAAACCAGTGAGCTCGGACGCGTGGTGGGGGCTGCTACTCGCCCAAAAAAATAGAATAAAATGGATTAACTCGACTAAATTACTTACTAAACTAATCGACTAAATTTTTTGTGTTCAGACACGTTTAGTTACTAAATTACTCGCTACTAGACTAAAATACTAGCTTAATGCGAACTGGGCTTTAGCATTCAACAACGATGCCTCGATGTTGTCCAACGAATAGAACCTATCTGACCTTTATCGCGGGACATCAGAGTTCACATTTTTGCAGTCATATAAAGTATGATTGAAGTCCAATAATTCTTTCTTTAAACCTACATCATTTAAATTTTTCTTAGTGACAAGGATACTACGGAGGTCATATGAGTAAGAAACCATTATACGCTTATTTGAAATAACATATCTATACTTCTATACTAATATTATAAAGAGGTAAAGTTTGTGAGATTGTGAGTTTGTGACGTTGTAGGCGGTAATCTCTGGATCTACTGAACCGATTTAGATGAAATTTGGTAAGAAGATAGTTTGAGACCCCGGGAAGGATATAGGATACTTTTTATTCCGAAAATCATCCCTTAAGAGGAGGTTCACAATCCTCTTAAGAGGGTGATAATGGGGATGAAAGTTTGTATCGTTAAGCAAGCCAGGGACGGACCCGAGCGAAGCGAGCGTGAGTCGCTAGTAGTAGATATAATGATACCCGATAAGTAATTTAAAAAATATATTTTATGAATATTTCTTAAATAACAAATACATTTTACGAATACGAATACGAAATCAAAAAGTGCACTTTAATGTATTATTTTACATCACAGATTGATAAGTACCTTCCTACGTTTTTTTAATTGTTTGAGTGGATATTGTTTATCATTGAATTGTAGTAATTAGTTCGGATTGTTCGATTACAAAATACTTGAAAGTCTTAAAGATTTTGTTATATCAAGTACAATTACTATACTACGTACATATGTACATATATATGTATTTACAAGTGGAATTAATGTTCTTGCTTAGCGGTAATATATAGGACAAAGTTGCAACAGTAGGTATCTGTAAATGATATAGGCCTGTTTTGTGCAATGTCTATGCATACTATATCGAGATTAAGGCTGCATTACATACAGTTGGTGGAATTAAGATTATCGCTTTTTCTCATACTTTCACTTCTTGGGTTAAAATTATGAATTGGACATTGCTGATACGCGCGATTGTAATTATCTATTGCGTAATTCAGCTATATCTATACCTACATATTATAAAATTGTAAATAAGCCGAATCTGTACATTAAATATTTTTTATAAAATTTTATTGAAATAGACATTATTAGCGATACAGTGGCCGAACTATAGTTTTTAAATTTTTTGTCTGTCTGTCTGTATGTCTGTTACCGCATCACAGAAAAAACCACTGTAGGGATTTTGATGAAATTTGGTATGGTGATAGCTGATTATCCGGGTCAACATGTAGGACTTTTTACCACGGGAAAATGTCTCATTTCTGAGAAAAAGTACAAAAACTGCAATATACTAATATGTAAAACCTAAGAATTTGGTTTTTGGTAATCTGCACGCGGCCGGAGCGGGGGCGCCCGCGGGCAATGCTAGTCTACTATAACATAGATAACTGCCATAATTGCTTTAGTACAACGAATTTTTCTTATATTTTCACATAACTTTTGAACAAAATGGATTACTAAATAATTTTGGTTTTTTTTCTACACTGGTTCACTTACACTTGGTTTTTATTAACCAGCCACCAAAGAGAAGGAGGATCTATTCATCTGTATGTATTTTGTTTACGTCAGCGGGCAGCGATTTCATGTCTATTTAGGTATCTATTGTGAATGGATGTCGGTTTACAGAAGCTGATACCTTTTTGATTTAAAATCTTTTAGCGGAAATAGTAGTTTATGAATTTATACTTCTTATGGCACGTTTGGAAAAAAATATGAGAGTAAAATTTTTACGATACGCGCACACACCGACAGCCAATATGCGACATGATGAAGTTAGCTGTATTCCTTTTACAAACAGAGAGTTGTGACATACGGGATGAATTCTTTAGCTATTTTTGTTCTGTTACGCCAAAGAAGTATAACTTCTTACATGCGTACATAAAGTACACACACGTTTTTTAAAATTAATTATTATATAGTAATAGTTCTTATTCATATTTTTACCAGGTTTCGTTTTTTTATAAATATATGTTCTTTGTTGAAATTCATAATATGTGTGCTACTTTAATTACGCAATAAACGAGCGTAAGCATAACAACGGAACATGTATATTGACAAACAAACAGATATTGACATACCTAAAGCAACAGCTTTGGTCATTTATAACCTGCTTTTCATCTTACTTTTCTCCATTTTGTTTCAGTTATTCGATTTTGAAATATTTTATAGAAAAATAGACCAGTTGTTGTTTTAATATTTTTAATAGCCTTTCTTGATGACCTAAACAAAGGAAGTTTTGTTGATGAATGTAAATTTAGTTAAAAATTTTGATTATTGGAGCTTTATTTTTAAAACTTACGAATAAAATTCAATATGTTAATTTAATTAATGGACATTAAAATATACATGAGTGGGCTGTATAGATTTGAAAAAGTATGGGGGTAGGAAGTGGCTTGTGTAATATTACAGACGACCAAACTATAACAAGAACGGAAAAACAACCGAAGGTTTTAGATTTAGAGCGTTTTACAGTATCTGCTTCTAGTTTTAAGCTTTAATTAGTGTCGTTTCAAATTATAGATACTAT